AAGAAAACCGATGTAAAGCATCAAAAACAATGGCTCCAGCTTGGTACAGCCGACCCCAGCACGGGCCTGGCTGGTAGGGGCAGAAGTAGTACAGCGGGTCCCACAGAGCTGCTACAGGACCCAGGGGGCACTCGTGGCACCACTGGCCACCAATCAAACGGTCGGCAGTTCAAACACACGGCTCCCACAAAGATCCAATCCTAGGAAACTCCAGGCAGTCTACTCTGTCACATGGGGTCAGACGAGTCACCATAGCTCGATGACCCCACTACCACGACCCCCACCGGACGCAGAAATCCCACTCCCGGGTTTGTGCCCCAGAGAGCCGAAACGGACACATGAGCACCAAGTACTCACAGCAGCCACCAAGTGTCATCAACTGAGGAGTCATAAGTACACCATTGTACCCCGACGAGTTGGGCTGTCCCCTGCAAGGTCAGCAGTTCAAAACCACCAGCCACTCTGACGGAGAAAAGACGGAGCTTTCTATTCCCATAGAGTTGGTCTCGGAAACCCACAGGGGCAGCTCTACCCTGTCCTCCAGGGTGGCTGCTGGCTGAAACAGACTCGGCGGCAGTGGAGTTTAGAACAAACATCTGCCGTGGAAGAAGTACGGCTGGGGTGTTCCTTAGAGGCAAGGATGGTAAGACTTCGTCTCATGGACTTTGGACATGTCCTCAGGAGAGACCTCATGCTTGGTAAAAGACAGCGAAAAAAATAAGACCTGCTAAGAGATGGATGGACGTGGTGGCTGCAACCATGGGCTCCAATATGGCAGTGACCGAGAGGACAGCCAGCCAAGGTGTGGTCTGTCGCACACGGGGTCACTAAGGTTCAGAGCTGCCTGAACAGCACCCCACAATGTCAACACTGCTCAGTCCTAAGCAGGAACTAAGGTCTGAAGCACGCTACCCAACAGGACACTACATACAAATAGCTACGGTGCCACTGATGGTGAATGTGAACAACAGCACACACCCAGAAACAGATGTACCCTAGTGGGATGGGTTGTAGATCCTAGAACAGAGAGAGGAAGATTAGTAGCTCCTGGGGGCTGAATGGAGGGGAGGGGCTAGGGAATAAATGCTAAAAGATACCAGTCTCTCTATTTAGTCACAGCCTAAACAGATCTCCAGATAGAGAGAAATGATTTACAGCATGTTGACACTTCCACAGAACAATAAGGAAAAATGTTCAAACAGGTTGGTTAAAAAAAAAAATTTTGCAAAATCATTTGAGTCCTCGGAATCCTTAGGGCCTGTATATCGTCCCTTTACTTCTCTCTAATCTAAACCCCAAACCGATAATATAAACCCTAAGCCAAATTCACTGTCACCGGGCCAGTTCTATCAAGACGGTAGTCCCTAAATACAGGGTTTCTGAGACAGTCTCTTTTGGTGGGAGCAGACAGCCTCACCTGTCTCGGGTGGGGCAGCTGGTGGGTTTAAACCACCGACTTTGAAGCTCAACGTTTTACAGAACTTGGGAAAACCCTACAGAGGGTCGAGATGAGTTAGAAACGACCTAACGGCAGTGTCATGGGCACCTGGGGGAGCCCTGGTGGTACAGTGGGTTAAGGGTGAAGTTGCTAACTGCTCCACGGGCAGTTTGAGCCCACCAGCCACTCCATGGGAGATCAAGGAGGCAGTCGGCTCCTGCAGAGATGGACAGTGTCAAAAAACCCCGGGGCCAGGCCGGCTAGGAGTTACAAAGGAGTCAACAGCAGTGTGTTTCAGGCTACCCGACATTAGAAAACCTCAGGCCGGGCAGGAACTTTTAACCGAAGCAGTACCATGACCTGAGTCACCGGAGACATCACATCACCAAACACAGTAAAGGTGACAAGGCTGGAGCAGGACCGGGTGGTGTTTCGTTTTGGGGTGAGTGGCGTGTAAGTCGGGGTTCACCCAAAGCACCTCACAACCACAATGTGCTAAAAGGTCTGTGTATCTCTTTGAGGAACTCTGATGGGGTAGTGGTTATGCACTGGGCTGCAAACCGCAAGGTCAGCAGTTTAAAAGCACCAACCGCGCCACGGGAGAAAGAGGAGGCTTTCTACCCCGTCAAGAGTGACAGTGTCGGAAACTCACAAGGGCACTTCCACCTGGTCCTAGAGGATGGGCTGCTTAGTCAAAACAGACTCGATGGCACAGAGTTTGGGTTTGGTCTGTGCAGGCCAATCAAAGGGGGAGGAGACATTTTTATGTCAGGAAAACAAGAGGCTAGGCCAATTCTTCATAGAAAAAGTTTTTTTTTAAAAATCTCCATCGGCGGTTCTCAACCTGTGGGTCGCGACCCCTTTGTTGGCTGAATGACCCTCTCACAGGGGTCTCCCCGGTTCGTAACAGTAGCAAAATAACAGTGATGAAGTAGCAACAAAGATACTTTCATGGTTTGTGGGGGGAGGGCGGTCACCACCACATGAGGAACTATATGAAAGGGGCGGCATTAGGGAGGTTGAGAGCCACTGCCCTAGAGCAACAACGTATTTCCCCAGCTGCTCTCCGGTACTATGTGCCTCACAACATTCTGAATTTTCATTGCCATAAAAACGCAGAAACATAACACTTGCCATTTCAACCTTCTTCGCGGCTACAGTTTAGCAACAAGACACTGATCACATAGTTCATTCAACCAACACTTGTCTTGCCCTGGTAGCATAATGGCGTACAAGTGTTGGGCTGTTAACCTCAAGGTGGGCAGTTCAAACGCACCAGCCGCTCCATGGGAGAAAGATGAGGCTGTGTGCTTCCAAAAGACTTCGCAGTCTCAGAAACACAAAAGAGCAGTTCTACCCCGTCCTATAGGGTCTCTGTGAGAAACCCACACCAATAAGCTTTGCATTCTAGCATCGCCCACAGGAGCAAAGCTACAGTTCCCCAGTGAAGACAGCACAAAAGCCAGCCTCACCCTTCCAGGTGACAGTAGGGCTAACAGCAATCAGGAAAGCCCCTCTGCCTGCCCTAAGCTCGGGGCGCTGGGCAGCTTCTTACCCTTGGGGCCCTCCCTGGCCCCTCCCCAGGACTGGGAATGGACCGACCTGGACACCAGGTCCCCCTCCTCCTTCACGAAACACCTCCCACGGGAAACACCGGTTATTTTCACGCAAAGGGATGCGCCCGCCTGGCCTCTTAAATAACCAGGTAGGTCTTCACCAAAGGAGGTCGTCGGCTCCAGGACGGACCCCAGCAGGGCGCGGTGAGGGAGAGGGCTAGGGTCTGGGTCGAAGTCCGGCCACGAGTGTCGGGG